GGTTTTATAGGTAAGTAACACTAAATGTAATGCCTCTGAACAGTGAAAAGATCAAGTTTGAAGATTTTATCTTTGACTCCATAAGATCTCCCAGGCCTTTAACTCTCCTAATCTATTCCAATTCTATCCAAACCCTCTTAGCCTGGCTTCCTTTCTTAAAGAGCTTCAACACTGAAAGACCTTTGAGGAGGGGAGGACAGATGGTACATAGCTTGTAGAGGTAGAACAGGTAGAAGCTAAGAGAATTCTTCTTTGTCTTCATAGAACCTTCAGTCCCTTAACACTCTGATTGTACTACATTCTCTGTATTCTCTCTACAGGGCACACTTCCCTTGGACTTCATCCTTGACTAAATATTATCTTGATTGTTCCTATAACTCCCCTGCCCTTCTACTTTTAACCAACCTTACCTGGAAAACACTCGACCATGTGAGACTGAATTTAAGTCTACTACCACTCTAAGCAGCTGAATCTTAAAGTAAGTTTATGTTTATCCCTGGGTTACTAAGGATATCTGATCAAAACTACTTGGTGGTATTATTAGAGTTAGCTGTCTTAACTCTCTTTAAGCTTCAAATATTTATCTCACCAGACAACAACTTCCCTTTCCACTTTATCCATCTACCTTCTGGTGTGACATGTAAATAACTTGATCTAAATCTGAATATAACTTGAACTCTCTACTTCAAGTTTCAAAGGATATATGGTCTTTGAAGCTCATAGCTCTTTAGAAATATTTTAAAATTTCTTCTGTGTTCTATCCTTTTTAATGATGTTCATTTTGGCAAAACTAATGATAACGATTATACCACCTAAAACTGACCAAGTTCCATTGTTGGGGGTATCTTATATATATGTCTAAATTAACTTTACCACTATTAAAATTACTACTATTTTACTAATGTAGCTATTAATATTATACCTTGTAGAAGAGAAATTACAGAAACAAAATGCCCTTTCTCCAAGGGTATTATCCTATTTGGCCCTTTTAATTAAAACTGACTTCTTGGTAGTTCTTATAATTTTCTGATATTTTTATGGATTCCTAAATATTTTTCATAGATTCCTCTTTTTTCTCCTACAAAAACCAGGTAGGAAGCTGACCTCAGCCACCACTTATCTAACTTTAAACATGTTTCTTATAGGATTATATCCACTTTAATCATTTAAAATCAATTTTTAACTGTTCAGATTCACCTCTAAATTTCTACCCCCTCCAAAGATAGACAAAATACTTAATTGTCTCCTGAATGTAACATAAATTGAGGAATAAGTATAAGCATTTTGAGTACTGAATCTCCAGTACTCAAAACATTATCTAATATTTAGATAAATTCTCAGGTTGTACTATATATTTTATATATTTCATTATAGCAAATTAAATTGGAAGATAGCATCTACATAGCTCTTTTTTGCCATCAGTAAATAAGCATCAAGGATTTGTCAGACATCCAGATTCAAGATTATCTCATTGGTACAGATAAGGGGGGGCTAAAGATTTTTCCTATGATTGAAAGAGACTTAGAAAATATTAAAACATAAAACACATTACAAAAATTCAACCATGGGTTGCAGATTTATGGCAACATATTTAGTAATACATATTTGTGGAATATTTATCTTGTGAACTAAGCCCATTGACATTTTCCAGAGCATAGCAGTCATTTGTGGATGAAAAATGTCCTCTTTTCATTACTACAAAAAGGCAGGATATATATATCTGGTCCATCAGTCTTATAAAATCTGATGTTTACAGAGTATGAGATTACACCTAACAAAATAGGTTACTCATGTGCCTATCATGTGTTCTTCAACTGTTAACATAATCCACAGTTTTTCATTACGTTATTGGATTTATTCATATCATTTTTAAGATTCCATTCTGAAAAAAAAAAGGATCAACTAAGTTTAAATGCAGCTTATCAACTTCTTCATTTGCAGAAGGGATTATCTGGGTGATCTGAATTTCAAATACCCTGTATTAATTTTGTCCCTAGATTCCTTTTATCCACAAGAGGACATTTCTCTTGTATCCAGGGCCTTTTGTAGTACCCTGCAGTCATTGTTTCATCAACTAAGGAGGGCAGAGAGTGAAGGAACAGAGAGAGGGAAGAAGGTGAGGCAGAGGGGGGGGGGGGGGGGGGTAAAAAGAAGGAAAATTCTTGGCCATTATTTCTTTAAAATTTATTCTGTGTTCTCTTGTGCACACGTGTCCTGCACCCCATCTCTCTTAGGGTTACAATTACACATATATTAGACTATATTAGAACATATACTGTTTTTCAAGTTGTAATTTCTGTGATATCATCAGCTTCTGATTCTTTCCTGGGCTATGTTGAATATGATGAACCATTTTCTCTGTTAGTTAACTTTTTATTTCTAGCATTGCTATCTGGTTCTTTCGCTTTACATCTCTGTGCTGAAATGATCTCTGTAATCTTTCTTGTGTACATTTAACACCAGAATCTTCCATATAATAATCAAGGTTATTTTAATACCCTTTTTAAGAATTACAACATCTGTGTTAACAACCAACACTTCTGACTATTGCTTTTGTTTTGGGTGGTACTAGGAATTGACTCAGAGACATTCTACCACTGAACTACATTCCCAGCCCCATTTTAAAATATTTATATCTTGATACAGAGTCTTGCAAGATTCCCAAGCTCAGCTCAAACTTGCAATATTTCTGCCTCAGCCTCCTCAGTGACTAGGATTAACAGGTATATATATGCCACCATGCCCAGCAAACTAGTGCTTTTTTAATCTTCAAACATTCTCTTCTTTCTTTTATGTATTTTTATAATTTTTGTTGAATGACAGGTACAACTTATAGTTCAATAGATAATAAGGTAAATAAATGTGTTTACGCTTGAACATAATTACACTTTTTCTTCTGAGATGTCATTAGTGTGGAAAATTGTGTTATTTTAGTCCACATGAGAGAAAAGGTGGACCACCCCTTGGAAAAATGGAGTACTCTCACCCCTGAAAAACACTACAGCCACTGTTACAATGCAAGAATATCAAGCTAAATCATTTCATATTACTCCAATGTATGACTTGGGCACTTCCAGCCAGTTCTTGTGTTATCATAATTTCTTATTTGTTACATATTATGAGGGATATTAGGTTGTCAATAATACATTCAAAGGATATGAGTTATTTCAATTTTTAATATTTATTCATAGTAGGTAATTCATGTTTATAGCAAAAATACAGGAAAGGAAGCCAAGCTATTGTCTAAAGAAGATATATTTATTATTCCATTATATTATATGCTTAATATAAGATGAAGTAAAGCATAAAATTTTTTTATCACCCTTTCCTACTGATGCCAAAATACATTCAAGTAATGAATATTTGCAAAGTGTATTTAGGAATTAAGTTTAAGGTACTTACTCTTTCTATTATGCTATGGAACTAACTTCCCTTGTTTAATTGTTCTACCAAATGAAGTAGTAATTCACACCCAAATTAATGGGCTTTAATTATTGTTTCATATTTTATACTGATTATAAAATAGAAAAATAATCCTTTTGCTTTTAAAGGCCATTTTATAAATATACCTGGAAGAAAGAAAGTGAGGCATATTTTTCAAATAAAGACTTAGGACTTCGTTCCTTCCTACCCTGGAAACAAGGTATCCTCTTTTCATATAAAGATGCTCTTGTGTTTTGTTTTTGTTTTAGATTCTCTGCTTGATCTCAGTAAGACTCTTATAAGGTACCTATAAATTCAAGATGTATTAATATTCTCTTCGGTTTGGAGATGTTGGAACACAGGGTGTTGTGAATATCTAATATGAAACTGCCATTTCAATACTGCATAGGAAGAGACTTACCAAAGGAATTTTTGCCTCTAGTTTAGGCTGGACTTAGGCATTGGCAAAAAAAAAAAAAAAAAAAAAAACTAGAAAAATAGGCTCATCCTGTTTAGAAAATTATATCTTCTTCTGAAGAACTGTACAATAGGGTCAAGTAAACTCTTCTCTCTTTAGACTCTACTTGAAAGAAAAAAAAATACTGAGGAAAAGGGAAGGCAAAACTTCTGCTATGTGAATGAGACATAAATGTTTTCTTCTTTCTAGAGGGTTCTAAAGTTAGATGTCACAAGTGACATATAGGTAGATGATAAATAAATTGAGAGGCTGTGCAACACTGTCAGAAGATTTTTAAATGTTAAAAAATCTGAGATTTTTTTCATTTCTGAAATTTTTAAGAACTCAAATTATAATTCTATAATTCTTCATTATTAGTATTCTTAATAAAACATCTCTTGTTGAGCATTTATATTTTTCACATTTTGACGTTCTAAATAATGTCAACTATGTCCTGTGTACACTTTTTGTAAAAATAGAGATATTTTATGCATTTGAAGAAGGGAAAAGCTATACAGTTTAATATAGAGATTGGTTTTGTGTTTCCTAAAGAAAATTGAACCCAACCTAGATACACACCTAAATATATGCCTGCCACTTTTACTCTTCAGAGACAAACAAAAGGTTTGGCCATCAAAGACCTAAAGTTTAATGCCACAGGGCATGCTTGCAAAAAGTTTCAGACTAGAAATTTTTCCAAGTAGGTGATACCAATCTCACATTGAATCCATAACAATAAATTCCAATACAGCTCCTACAGAATGGCAACTTTTAAACAATTTTAGTTCCAGCTAAACCCTCCAAGACAAATTAATTACAAAATATGCCCCCTTTGTAACTGAGTTAACTTCCACTTAAAGACAGTTAGTTAGAAGTCATTTAATTGTTAAAGGAAAGTTGCTGGAAAAAAATGTTTTTGGTGTTAGTTTCATTCCTGTTAGATCATACTCACAGTAGTTAAATAGTAGGACCCAATTTCTGTTAAGGGTCTTCCTCGTCAAACTAACAAAACCAAGTATTCTTTTGATTGTTTCTCTTTATCAGAGAAATAATTATAATATATATTCATATTTTCTGAAGCAACAAGTTTATAATCTTCCTGTTCATAGGGCCAATCAAAATGAAGCTGCTTCTTTGGGTTTGCATCCTGTGCATTGCTTTTGCAAGGAAGGTGAGTAAAATGGACTTTTACAATCATACCAATGGTATAACTATGAAATAATCATTGGAAAAGATTCATGCTAAAGATAAAATTATTGCCCTGTTTATTAAAAAAGCAGAGAAACATATTGATGAGCATGTGGTTTGTTGTATCATAGTCTTCAAAGGAAGTTTTAAAAACCAAAATAATGACAGTTACAAAAACTAGAGCAACCACAAGGATAAGAGTTAAGTAATGTAGGAGTCTGGAGGAGGAAAGAACTACAGAGAACCAGAATCCCATGTAGACAATTTTAGCAGAGTTTTATCTCTTATAATTATAGAATGCTGAATTGGGACTTCTCTGGCAGGGAAGTTCCACTGCTAGAGGTATTTATACCAAGTCACAAAGAATTCTTGATGGGACAAAAGCAAATGAACATAAAGACCTGCAGTGTAATATAAATAGATAAAAGATTATTTGAGGGCAAATTCTTAATCCTAGCCAGTGAGCAGTGAGTGTGCCGAATACCCTCTTTGAGAAAATAATAACACCTTCACCCAAATAATTGTTTTGAATACTAAATAATTATGTAAAGTGCTTAGCAGAGTATCTAGGATATAGTAGGAAATGATACACTACTATTATTTTGTCCAAATTTAAAATATTATTCTACTTCCTAAAATTACCTGAATCAAGCTTTAACTCTTCAAATGGTAAATGATGAATTTACTATTCTCTCTATCTCTGTCTCCTTCATACACACACACACACACACACACACACACACACATTAGCAAAATTAGATAAATAAGAGCTGAATGATCTTTCATATGATGAAGATTTATGTACACATAGGATATTACACACTAAAATTCATCTGGCCAAAATAAAACTTCCTGATATATGATGATGATGATGATGGTGATGATAAATAATTCATACTGATGATTCCTATCTCAAAGAAACTATAATAATTATAAGGTTTTGCAAATTTCTTCATTAATAAATAAATCTGGGTACAGCATTTTCAAATAAATAACCTTACTAAACTTCTTTTTTCAGAAGTGTTTTCCCTTCAATAAGGTAAATCTTTTTCATTTAAACATAAATATGTCTAGTTTTACTTTAGACTTTGTTTTTTTGTTATGTTGTTGCTGTTTTAATTTTTTTAGTTGTTGATAGACATTTTTATTTATTTATTTATTTTTATATGATGCTGAGGATCACACATGCTAAGCAAGCACTCTACCACTGACCCACAACCCCAGCCCATAGACTTCGTTTTAAATTTAACAATTCTCTAATTCCTTAACAATGTAATTTAATGACTGCTAATGATATTGAAATAGTACTTGTATTTATCTTTTCTGATTTGATGGAAAATATTTATTAAATATAAATATACATGACCTGAATATATTTATCAGCAATTCTTTATTTCTTTTCAATGACCAGGAGCATTAAATAAATGCAATAATTTTGTGGTATAATAAAATGTTTGCTTTGTCCAGAGTTTCTTTCATGCCTCTGTAATATTTATCACAAGGTAGTTGAACAAACTACATGATGTATCCAGCCAGGCTTTTCTTGCATGAGCTGTAGTCATTCTGAATGTAAGTAGAAATCTGAAGAAAAAATGTCTTTCAGTGCTGTTTAATTTAAAATAATCATTGTTTTCTTTGTTTTAGAAATCTTTCTCATCCTCATCCAGTGAAGAGGTAAAATATATTCATATTTATTTATATCTAAGGATACTGAAATGTATCTTACATTATTCATTTTTTCTTTAAAATTGATTTTTTATCAAATAATGTTCAGTGATTTAGCATTATTATATTTTTCCTTGAAAAGCAAAGAATTTATTTAGGAACCTATTCATTTCTTTTCCTCTGATGGGCACATTTAAATACACAAACAGAAATATAAACATATTTACATTTATACATTATATAACTTCTTATTTATACTGATATCCTGTCTAATTTTACTGCCTGTTTATTAGGATAAATACTTAAAAGTCAAATGTAATTATATAATAAAGTTTTACATTTCTAAAAGTATAGACAAAGCAGTATTTTCCAATAAATACAAAAACTGAGTCTGTTTATAAATTGCATCTATTATTGACAAGTTAACTTTGAATACATGTAAAAAATAACTCCATAACACTAACATAAGTATACAAGAAATATTAATGTCGTTTGTCATACTTTAAATTGATATTTATCAAAATTCAAATTTTCTTGAATTTTAATTGAGATATACAGTAATCAAAGACTCTGGGGGTGGCCTTCCCATGAAAAACTGATAAATTTATGAAAAGAAATAAAACTTCATGAATATAGGCCAAGAAACATAAATTTAAAATGTAAATTCTTATATAATTTTGTGGCTTTGAAATTCCCTATCTCACACATGTGTAAGAGACAAACCTGGAACAACCAGAGAATAATATGGAGTTCTTACCAAAAGAAGTCATTTGAAATTTGATGATAAATTCATGAATAATGTTAATAAGGTAGTCATTTAAAATGCAAATTCCATAGGGAAAATTATATATGAAAAGCCAATTGTATATCATCCACATGCTAACTGCCTACTCTCTTGATAACAAATTGAGAAGCCTGGCTTGAAGTGAATGTGAATGGACACTTTGATGAAGAAAGGAGTTCAGAGATAGAAATCTGAATTTGGGAATAGAGGGACCCCTGTCCCTGGAACAACAATAAGGGAGTGAAGAAATGAGGGCTTTTGTAGACAACTTTAGAGATGTTGGGCTAATGAGGACAGTACATGGGGTAGCGCAGAGAAGGCCTGGAAGCACCAATCCTACCTCCTTATATCAACTCTGTAGCATACATAAACATCTCTTAGTTTTGCCCAGGTCTACACTGGCATAATCTGCAGTCTATAACACTCTTATTTGCCTAAACACAAAATACTTTTCCCTCAATTTGGGTTTGTTCAATTTTTTTAAGTAATTATTATAAGCTACATTCAAAACTTATGAAAAGACTAAATTTGAATTCTTCTTTAAAAAAAATCATTACTTATATAATACTACAGCCATAACGTAAGTAATAAAAAGATAGAACATAAAGTTACTTATCATTTACTTCTTTGCTTCTTCCTTAGGATGTCAGTAGCTATGGCTACCCACTTAATCCATCTCTGGATATTCCTTATGGCTCACCAAATGATGATTTCCCAACTCGTCGTTTGCCTACTCTTTCCTATCCTCAAATGAATAGTGGAATGAATAGTGGCCCCAAATACCCTGTAGCTGACTCTGAATCAGGGCAATCTCCATATCCTTGGGTTCAGTCTGCTTCTGGCTCTCCCTATGTGTACCAAGTCCCTAGTTATTCCCCACCTCAAATGAACGCTCCTGAAGCTCCCGCTGCTACGGCTGGTCCTTGGGCTCCCTCTGCTGCTGCTCCTCTAGTTCCTCACTATTATCCTCCTCCACCTCCTCCTCCTCCTCCTTCTCCTCCTAGGGCATTTCCCTTTTCCCATCCTTTAAGTATGTCTGCAGCATCTGCAGAACCAGCTAGTCTATCTTTTGAATCTGAGTCAGCTGCAGTTACATCTATGCCTGTAGCAGCTGAGCCTGCTGCAGAGTCACTTTCTTCAGAGTTGACTGCAGATCCTCTTTCTTCAGTTGACCCCGGTGAAGTCACAGATGCCCTGACTGCTGCAGCCAAACATGCTGCCTCCCAGTCTGCTGCAGTTAAATATGTTGCATCCCGGCCTGCTGATGTCCCGTCGACTGCAACTGAACTTACTGGTGCAGATATGCCTGACACCCAGTCAGCCTCAGCCAAATCTGATGCAGCTGAACATGCTGTAGGCCATTCTGCTTCAGTCAAACCTGGTGGTAATAAGCCTATTCTAGACAAACCTGCTATCTCAGAATCTCAACCCTCTCCTCTTGACCAGGTGGGTTGCCAGTACCTCACCACTGGAATGCATGAGATTTGTAGGAGAAGAAACACAACCTCTCCATAAGCAAACATTTAGAGAAGCTTTATTGAAGTACAATTGACATATGCCAAAGTGCAGGTATTAAAAGAGTACACTTTGATAGGTTTTGACACATGTATACACCCACAAAATCACTACCAGGATAATGAACAGCCAGATTTTGCCCATTCCTTTGTAATCCCAGGTTCCCCTTTCTCCCATTCTTGATCTGTTTTTGTTTGTCTGTTTTTGTCTCTAGAAATTGGCTTGGATTTGGTTTGAATTTTATGTAGGTGGAATAATACTGTAAGAATTCCTTTATGTCTGGCTTCATTTATTTTAGATAATACCATGAAGATGTGTAAACCAATAGTAGGGTTTGTTTGGTGTGTTTTTTTAGATGGGGGGGTTGTTTGTTTGTTTGCAGATTATGATTTTATTATATAGACAGAACATAATCTTTTACCCACTCTTCTATTGATGAGCATTTTGGCTTCCAAATCGAAACTATTTATTTATGACTGTGCCAGCTTACTTCATTATAATGGTAAATGAAAGTGGCTAGATATTATCCCTTTTTCCTGATATTAAGGGAAAATATTAATTTTTCTCATACATGCACAGAGACATATATTCAACATGTAATATACAATACATATGTAAGTTCTGGAAATTCTCCTCAGCTAGTGTCTACCCTCCTTTGCTTCCAGTCTCTTAGTAATCACCATCCCACTGAGATCCTGAAAGAGTCTTCCTCTTCCTATTTTTGTACATATTGTGCTTGTTTGTTTCAGGAAAGAGAGTTAATATAGTTTCTGTTACTCACCTTGGCCGCAAGCAAAGATTTTTAAACTTTTTTAAAGCAGTTGTCATTTAAAAATATTAAGAAGACCTGTGTCCCTATATCTTGTTAGATATTTATTAGGTTATTTTATAAAAGACAAATGTGATTTCAAACTGCACAGAAGGTACTCAAAACCCAGGAACATACTGAAAAAAAATCAAAGCTTAAATACATCAGTGAGTAGTACACAGTACATTCACCGCTACATGAATATATCTAGTACTTATTTCCTAGAAGAAGATAGGAACTGTCCTTAAAGATAATCATCAAGGAATTAAATTAAATGTGTGGGTTTTTGCATCTAGTTCAGTTAAATATAAAGAGCTAGGCATATTCTCCATTGTTCCACACAATAAGCATGCTAATTTGATAAACCTCTTCCACATAAGTACTTTTCATCTCCCAGGATATAACTATAGTCCCTGCTTCATTTGAGAGTACAAGGGACATGTTAGAAAGTGAGGATAAGTTGAAGCAGGACATGATCAGAAGGGACCTTGAAACAGTTAAATGCCCTGGACTTCATCCTATAGCCAAAGGAACTTATTAAGGAACTTCATTGGGAGGAGTGATTTGACAGATTCTCTGCTTTAGAAAACGAACTCTGGTGGCAGTATGTTAAAAAATGAGTTATAAACTTATCAGTAGGACACAACTTCTTAGAATGATTATTTAGAAAATATAGGCCAGAACTATTCAATGAAGTATATTTTGCTGTGTATAAAAAAATCTTTCTCTTTTTTTTCCTTTAGAGAAATGACAATTTCGACAGAAATGAGTAACATGCATTTGTTTCTGTAAGTCAAACATGATAATGAGATTTAGAAATCATAGTTTAAATAGACCAAATCTCATCATCTGAAACTACTTTTGAATATATTTTTACTACATGAAAATGAGAAAGTGGGCTATGGAGAAGTGCTAGCAGTCTACCACCCCAGAATTCTGAAATTATGAACTCAAGTCCTATGTAAAGAACTCAGGTTACTTTGGGAAAACTAGAAAGTTCCTTCCTAAATTGATCCAGACTTAAATACTTTGAAATAACGGTGGTCAAAATAGGAAGAAATTTCCATAAGCAGAGAGGGAATTAAACTGTGGTTAGGAAGAGGCATTGTTGGCTTAAAGTTCTCACAAGTCATTATGTACAATGTCTACTTAGCCACCAGTCTTCCCACATTGAGAACCACTGTTTAGGAATCAAACAATTTAGACCTGAAGTTTACCATTATCCACCAAATCCACCACCCTCTACACACTCCACATTACTCCCCAACATATATTTTCCTGGGAAGAAAGGCACTGACCAAAAGCTCAGTTGGATTTATTCCATCTTAGTCATCTGATGAGGAAATAAGTAAGACATTTGGTTACCTTAATTTCAAGTTCTCATTCCTTTAGCCTTTCCCAAAACTGTTATAATTTTAGTGTTCTAAATACTCAGTAGACAGGAAAATGACAAGACTTATTTGATTGTCATCCAAATCAAAAACTCTACTGAAACAACATCAATGGCTCAAGTGGAATTGAAAAACAAATGTGAGGGCAATTATTATTGCTAGTGGTGCTTCTTAGTTGTAGCCATTGCCAGGGCCATTAAAAAGTTTCAGTTTTTATTGGAAATTCTCTGACTACTGTTTATTATTTTGGTTTTATTTATTTTACTGGTATGACAGATGAAAGGTTGGTTAGTGAATTATTTCAAGATATTGATACATATAACAATTTCATATATTCAGTATTTGTAGTATTTTTTACCATACTAATTATGTAATTTACAATAGGTAAAGAGAAAAGATACTACTTTTCTGAAAATGTCTCCCTATTAAAACAGAAAAAGAATGGTCCTTGAAATCATTCCATATCAATAAACAGTGATAATATGAAAAAGTACCCACATTAAAAATCCTGTATAATATGGATATATTCAGGCAAATAAATTATAACATTGAATTAATATTGCATTTGAAAATGAATTGTTATTAGAATAACATTGTTACAGGAATGTATAACTGTGGTAAGAATGCATAGTATTTATAAAAACACAGAAGAAAATCTTTTCTTAACTATGTGTATTCATGGCATGGATTTTTACATGACTGTTATATAAAGTCTTTTAAAATAATCATAAACACAGAATAACAACTTTGCTATAAATGCAAGTGTATTGACAATGTATGATATAAAACTAATATGTTGTTTTTCTCTTTCAGAGACTGGTGCAGAAATCAATGAAATTTAAAAAAAAAAACTTTTTCAATTTCATTCTGTTATATTAAAATTCAGTCTTACCATATTCATTGATTTGTGATGGTTTTTCATTGGATTTAACTCATACTGAAATAATATTCATGGTGTACTTTTTTCCAATTTAAAATATAAAAAGCATATTTCATAAATATGAAATAATATAATGGTCATAAATTTAAACATATGCTAAGTGCCTTTCTTTTGAACACTGTCTAAAAATATGACACAAATCGACTTTTATTTTTGTTTCCATATTCTTTTTCCTGCAAATAGAAGGTAAAGAAAAGATCACCTTAATTCATGATTTTTCCATCTCCTCCTTCCCAAAATGTTTCGTCAGCTTTTTAAAAAATCTATTATCAACTTACATAGCACTTTATAGTGCTAGGAGCTATTCTAAGCTCCTTACAAATATTAACTCATTAAGTCCTTGTGATATGACCTTATTAAGTATAATATTATTCTTCTCGTTTTAAAGATTAGAAATCCAAGTATAACAGAAAAGACAAATAAATTTCCCAAGAGTGAGAGGCAGAATGAGAAAACATACCAAGAGAATGGGGACTCCAAACTGGATTGGAAGATGAAGATGAAGCCAACTAACAGGAAGTTAAACATTGCGTTATGGTGGTTGCAACAAATTACCACAAAGTTGATGACTTTGAAGAGCAGAAATTTATTCTCTCTATCCATTCTGGGAGTCAGAAGTCCAAAATCAATTTTACTGGGCTGAAACCAAAGTGTCGGCCTGGTTGTACTCCCTTGATATGCCTTGAAAAGGAGCCTCACCTCTTGGAGGTGTCTGCAGCTGTTGACTTCCCTTGTTTCTGCCCACCTTCCCTTACTTAATAGGCAGACACAAGATCCCAATGGAACACAGAAGGGAGCTGAGAAAAACTAGATTGGTGAATACATAGCCAGTCTCTCCACAACTCCCCTTGCTAGTTCACATACCTCCATTTCACTCTTCCTCCCCAATGTCACTTTCTTGTCAGCTATGACAAAATTCAGGATTCAGACTGTCTGCCAGGTCAGAATGTGACATTTCCTATTCCTGAAAATTGAGACAAAAGACAAGGTATCTGCCTGCTGCACTCACTTTGCAATGATAAAACTCAAAACAGGATAACCAAAATAAACAATTTAGAAACAGTCATGGCCATACAGAGCAATTCTACGAATCTCTTGAGATGGGAAAGGTTCATTTTTCTACAGATAGAAAAATATCCTACATCCATTGTTTTCCTCAGTCATTTATCTAAATTAGTTTTTCATCTTTAGTCTTTCAATGACTACCTTCTGCTGTGAGATGATGGAACCTCAGGAAGTAATTGCTTTACAGAAAACAAAAGGATAATTTCAAGGATCCAGGGGCTGGGAGAAATGGGGAGATGTTGCCAAAGGGTATGAACTTACTGTTTATTATAAGATGATTAAGTTCTGGAAGTCTAACTCGCAGCATGGTGACTATCATTAATTTTCATACACTTGAACTTTGCATAGACCTTAAATTTAGTCAGCACAAGGGGGAATAAAAGCAACTATGTTCACTGAAGGATATGTCAGTAACCTTGGTTGTGGCAATCATTTAACAATCTGTGCTTGTGTAAATATCACATAGTACACTTTGAAGATATACAGGTTTGGTTTGGTTTGGTTATTTCATCCGACTCAGACCATTTCATTTACTATCATCCTAATTGTAAAACTCTTCTCACATGTTGAACCATAGGTCCCGTTTGTTACCTAACAAACATGCTACATCTTCCCATGTAACTGTAGAAAATTGTCAGGTATTTTTAAGCCAACCATCGTGTTCCTTTACAAATATTCTTCTTTTTCAAGGTAAGTCTATGACTTCCTGCATCTTCTTTCCCATGCTGTAATTTCTAGTCTCTTCAAATTCCCATAACTTTTGTTTGGTTCTTTTAGTGATCAGTGAGTTTAACTT